CCCATTTCTCCCAATCTCCCAGAGTTTACTGCTTTTGCAAGTTCCTCCTTGAACTGACTTTCATTTTGATGTTGTGAACCTAAAATAACTAGGAGACAAAGAAGAGCCTGTTCTCCTACTCTGTCTTAATCTGGGTTCCCATCTCCAAAGGGAACACAATATCCAAATACACAAAATGCCTATGGCACAAGTGTGTAGTTGTGACCCAAGGCTGAAACACACATATGTAAAAAGTAGAAAAGGGCCGGGGGAGTTAGATTAAGTAAACATGAAGGGTCTAGAGATCCTGTTTTGAGTGTAGAGTAGCCAACTCATTCCTAGCACTCATTAACTAAAGTACAAGGGAAGCAGTAAAACCTACGAGGTGCCGGGCTTGGTGGCTCAGCCTGTAATCCCGCGCCTTTGGGAGGCTGAGGTGAGTGGATTGCCTGAGCCCGCGGGTTCGAGACCCGCCTGGGCAGCAAGACCTCATCTCTACAATAAATCAAAAAATCAGCCAGGCGTGGTAGCGCATGCCTGTAATTCCGGCTACTTGGAAGGCTGAGGTGGTGAGGTGGAAGGATCGCCGGAGCCCAGCAGGTCGAGGCTGTGGTGGCTGGGAGCGCCACTGCACTCCAGTCTGGGCGACAGAGCGAGACTCCAACTTAAAAAAAAAAAAAAACCTACGAGGTTACAAGCAGTCCTTCAAATAATATAGCCAAGAAACATGTATTGGGTATCTTTCACAGTGTTTTACATTTATTACCTCATTTTATTTCCAGCACAACAGACATTGTCCTCATTATTTGGATAAAGGTGTAAATAAATGTGTTGGTATGTGTTTTGATCTGTGACCCTTTATATACAGAATTCCAATCTGTAAATTGAGGGAGTTAAATTAGAAAGGCATATAGGATAATTTGTTCTGTAACTGTAAGGTGTCAATAACAATAACAACAAAATCATCACTGCCAGCATGTTTATGGCACACTCACTTTGAATGAGTTATTAAAATCAGGACTTCACATGGATAATCTCATCGAACACAACAAAAAGGAATGTGCCTGTTTTATCTATCACTTTACAGAGAAGTCTTACTTGATCAAAGATATATGGGTCTGCTGGTACAGTAAAGAGATGTAATCCACTAGCAACATACTGAAGCTTAAGATTTCAGAGGTAAGCCAGGCACAGTGGCTCATGCCTGTAACCCCAGCACTTTGGGAGGCCAAAGCGGGAGGATTGCTTGAGGCCAGACATCCGAGACTAGACTGGGAACATAGTGAGACCCTGTCCCTACAAGAAAATTTAAAAATTAGCTGGGTGTGGTAGAGATTGCCTGTAGTGCCAGCTATTCAGGAAGTTGAGTCAAGAGGATCACTTGAGTTCAGGAGTTCTAGTCTGCAGTGAGCTATGGATCATGCAACAACTCTCCAGCCTGGGCAAAAGAGTGAAACTAAACCTTCTCTCTTAAGAAAGAAAAAAAAAGGCCCGGTGTGGTGACTCACTCCCATAATCCCAGAACTTTGGGAGGCAGAGGCAAGAGGATTGCCTGAGCCCAGGGGTTCGAGACCAGCCTCGGCAATTTGGCGAGACCTCATCTCTACAATAAATCAAGAAAAACTAGCCAGGCATGCCGGCACACACCTGTGGTTTCAGCTACTTGGAAGGCAGAGGTGGAAGAATCACCTGAGCCCAGAAGGTCAAGGCTGCCTTGGTGGCTGTGAGCATGCCACTGCACTCCAGTCTAGGTGACAGAGTGAGACTCAGCCTCTATTAAAAAAAAAAAAAAAGATTTCAGATTTAAAACCATTTTGAGGGTGACAGAGTTAAGCCACTGTCAATAATGTAAGTACTAGGAAAGGAACAGAAGCGAAAGTCAAGAGAAGTAGAAGCAAAGAAAAATGATTCTATATTTCATATGGATCCTTACACTGAAATCACCTAGATTCTGTTGAACTTTATATGATTAAATGTTGAACTAAATGTTGGACAATAGGAAGAACTCAGTATGCCTGGAAATAAAAACCTCACTATAAACAAATGGCTTCCATCTTCCACTACATTCTCAAGCAGGTCACCAATGCTTCTCTTACCTTTCTCTTCTCTTGATGTTAATCCATTTATTTTCAAATACAGTGCCCAAACTCAATCTAATAGTCTTTTTCTATGAATACCCTTTTTAAGAGACTGATAACATTGAGAAAGAGAATCCTCCCAAGTAAATGTGTTTGACTCCAGTACTTCAACTCATTGACTGTCAAAGCAAATTTGGGTTACAATCAGAAAATGTTAGCTAACTCCATGCCCTTTTACATGTTTCAAGTTACGTGAACACAAACGCTTATTCTCCTGTAACTAGAAAGAAAGCAAATGATTAAACAGAAATACTATGTTAATGGAGCTTAAAAGTCAGAAAAAATTAATAAGTCTTAGTTAACACAATAGTTTTGCTTTTGTTTTTTTTTTTTGAGTTGGAGTCTCACTCTGTCACCCAGACTGGAGTGCAGTGGCCACTCCCAGCCACTGCAGCCTCGACCTGCTGGACTCCAGCGATAGTTCCGCTCAGCCTTCCAAGTAGCTGGAACTACAGGCGCACGCTACCACGCCTGGGTAATTTTTTAATTTATTGCAGAGATGAGGTCTCGCCAAGTTGCCCAGGTGGGTCTCAAACCCACGGGCTCAGGCAATCCACTCACCTCAGTTTCCCAAAGCATGGGATTACAGGCTGAGCCACCGAGCCCAGCTACAATAGTTATTTGAAGAAAGTTGGCAAATAAAGCAAATAGCAATGCAAGTCTAAATGAACTGAGTTTTAGAAATTATACTTGAGAGACAGTACTACAGTTTTCTTCATTTTGATTATCTTTTTAAAAGCCTTTGATGTTTTACTTCATGAGTTAAGAAGAAAAAGCCTAGAGTTTGACCAAAATTAATTATTGGAGAGTTTCAATCTGTCAGTTTCTAGATTGATGCACAAAATCCTGCAAATAGGATTATGAACACAGCAATAAACAACCTGAGTAAATGCTGATTTCTACCACTTATTTAGAAACAGATTTTCACCTCCATTTACCAGGAGGGGTGATTTAAGAGTATGACATGGCACATGCATGTTTTTTGCAGCACTCAGCAAAAACATAAAACCAACCATGCTGCCCTTTGAAAGTGAACTGTATAAAAAAATGTAGTACATATACACAATGGAATATTACATAGCCATAAAGAAGAATAAAATTATGGACTGCAGCAATTTGGATGGATTTAAAGTCTATCATACCCAGTGATCTATCACAGAAACAAAGAACTGAGTACCACATATTCTCATTCACAAGCAGATCCTGAACATTAATCATAATACTATAAGAAAGGGATTGGCAGTAGCAGGACATTGCTAGGGGAGGGAGGGGAGCGGGGCACATAACATCAGAAACACAAACCAGACAAAGTAGGGATAAAAGGAAGGCCAAAACTTTATCTGTACAATGACCGCTTATGTACCTAATCCTGAATTATACCCCACATCTTTAAAATAAAAACTTTAAATGGTATTTTTTAAAAGAGTAGGCTGGGTGCAGCGGCTCAAGTCTGTAATCCCAGCACTTTGGGAGGCCGAGGTGAGAGGATTACCCGAGCTCAGGGGTTCCAGACCAGCCTAGGCAACTTGGTGAGACGCCACCTCTACAACAAATGGCAAAAAACAAGCTGGGCACAGTAGCATGTGCCTGTAGTTCCAGTTACTTGGAAGGCTAAGGTGGAAGGGTCCCCCCACCACGACACTGAGGTGGCTGTGGGCGGGTGTGCCACTGCACTCCAGCCTGGGCGATGGAGTGAGACTCCAACTCACAAAAAAAAATGTATGACACGCTATCAAATAAACATGTACGGGCACTTTTACACTTCTGAATGATGAGTTAAAGACAACTTTCTCATCTCCACATGCTAATCTATTATTTAAAATGGGCATAGATATCTGTTGAACTTTATATTATTAAGTGTTGAACGAAAATTCTCTCTACTGTTGTAGAGAATTACTAAAAAATAAGAACAAAGCTATGTAGTATATGCCTAACACTATAATAACAAAATGAAACAAAAGCACAAATGAAAGAAAATAGTATCTCCAAGCAGAGAAGAAGAGATGCTCCTGATTTAGGATCAAAAGAGATTTCTTTTTTTTTTTTCAGTTGGAGTCTCTGTTGCCCAGGATGGAGTGCAGTGGCACACTCACAGCCACCGCAGCCTCAACCTGCTAGGCTCAGGCAATCCTTCTGCCTCAGCCTTCCAAGTGGCTGGAACTACAGGCATGCACCACCACACCCGGCAATTTTTTTTGTTATTGTAGAGTCAAGGTCTTGCCAAGTTGACCAGGCTGGTCTCGAACTCCTGAACTCAGGCAATCCTCTCACCTCAGCCTCCCACAGTGCTGGGATTAGAGGCTTGAGACACGGCACCTAGCTGAGAATTCTTACCAAGACTCAAGTCGTCAAAAGTTCTAATTTAGCATTTGACTGTCACCTCATTGAGAGAACTACAATTACGTGTCTTGACACTGACACTGCCGAGGCAATGAATCCTACAATTAATGCTGAGCTTGAAATCAATGACAGAGAAACAAGTTCATACAGCATCCACAAAGACATCTAAAAACAAAGGTGGGGAACAGAATGGTTGTCGAAAGAGGAAGGTGTAACAACAAAAGAAAAATAATGGTACCTGAAGTACCTGAAGTAATATAAGGCCTATGTTTCAGGTCACCTGGGAATTAACAACACTTAGCTTATTATATGCTTCTAAATCTTCACATATGCATTCTTAAGAAGGATAAATGTCTTGAAGATCTTGAATAATCACTTTATAAGGAAACTAAAATTAGAAAGACTTTACTGTGGTTTTTAGTCATCTTTATTTTATTGGTAGTAGTAGCCACTGGGGAAAAGGCACAAACAACAAAGAAAATACTTTAAAACAATCTTGCCTATTTGTATTTCTACTGTACATATTAACTTTAAATAAAGTACCTGAAACTGAACTCTTGGACACTGAATCAGAGACAAATTAGTACCAATTTTCCTTACGATACTTCGAGACGAACCATATGGCTTCCCAGACCAAAGTACCTGAGGAAGTAGAAAAAACCAAAACCTTAATTACAAGAGTTATAGACCTGCTAAAACAAAGCATTGCACAATCATTTAAATGACATGCTAGCAACACATTAATTCAGGATCAGAACACTCTAAATGATAAAGGAAATAAACTAATATTTCTCAATTCAAAATGAAAGAACATATATAGCTAATTATTAATGCAATGATAGTTAATGTAAGGTATTATATAAAAAAACAGAATAATTAGAATTTTTAAAAATAATACTAAATTTAGTATTATTTCAATATTAAATTTTCATTAGGCCATCATGCTATTCTGCAACAGAAACACAATTTTAAGTCTTCCGTTATATTTCTAGTATTCGAATTTTAATACAAACATTTTAAATAAATATGAGCTACTTTTGCTGTAATAGAGTTTTCAAAATAATTTCAAATTAGTACAAAGTTCAGAATGTGTACCAACTGCTGCATGTTATCTGCTGCACAAGAATGCTTGGCCAAGGGTGAGCAGGGGTAAAATCCCAGCATACTGCTCATGAAGTCCTGCATCTTCTTGGGAGGCCCTGTCCCCAGAAATTAGGTGGTAAATGGGCTAGTGGTGGCCCTAATAAGCAGAATTTCTTAGATGAAATCATAATACACACATGACACCATGCTATGCTAAAAGCAAAACCAAAAACAAATCCTCAAGGCAAAAAAAAAGCAAAAACAACACATGCAGAATGTTAAATCATTACAAATTGTACCTTAGAACTTCTCCCCAAGTATATACTCTTTCCTTAAAGAGAAAAACTAATCCATCTGTTTTGAGTGCTATACTTGAAAGCCTGGACAGAAGAGGTAAAGAAAAGTAGTATGCTATTAAAAGCTATTCTAAAGGAAAAGAATGAGAATGATATGACTGTTATACTTAATCCATCAAACTTTAACATTCAATTATATCCTAAAGGCTAAACAAATAGTACCAATCAGCTAGGTATTCTGAAACAACGGACATCATCAACTCCTTTGAAAGGTCAATCTTTAAGAATGGAATGACCTTCGTGACCCGCCTGGGCAGCGAGACCTCATCTCTACAATAAATCAAAAAATCAGGTAGCGCCTGTAATTCCGGCTCCTCGGAAGGCGGAGGCGGAAGGATCGCCGGCGCCCAGCGGGTGGAGGCTGCGGCGGCCGGGAGCGGCCACTGCACTCCAGTCTGGGAGACTGAGTGAGACTCCAACTCAAAAAAGAAAGAATGGAATGACCAGGCAGGGCTCGGTGGCTCAGCCTGTGGTCCCGCGCCTCTGGGAGGCTGAGGTGAGTGGGTTGCCTGAGCCCGCGGGTTCGAGACCCGCCTGGGCAGCGAGACCTCATCTCGACAATAAATCAAAAATCAGCCGGGCGCGGTAGCGCACGCCTGTAGTTCCGGCTGCTCGGAAGGCGGAGGCGGCAGGATCGCCGGAGCCCAGCAGGTCGCGGCTGCGGCGGCCGGGAGCGGCCAGTGCACTCCACTCTGGGCGACCGAGTGAGACTCCAACTCAAAAAAAAAAAAAAAGAAGAATGGAATGACCCAAATATAAACGGCATAACCAAGCAATTGGTCGCTGTAAATAGTGGTGGCTCCAAAACGTAACCCAAACTAGGTCTTTAGACTATTCTAAAAGCATACACAACTTATAAAATAAGCATAGAAGCGATCTGATTTCTTAGATTTTAGTAACAAAATATAATTTAGGGACAACAATATGAGTCAAAGTGGGGTTTAGGGCCAGGTGTAGTGGCTTATGCCTGTAATCCCAGCGCTTTGGGAGGCTGAGGCAGGAGGACTGCTTGAGCCCAGGAGTTCGAGACCAGCCTGGGCAATATAAGCCAGAGACCCTGTCTCCACAAAAAATAGTTTCCCAGCACTTTGGGAGGCTAAGACAGAAAAATGGCTTGAGGCCAAGAGTTTGACACCAGAATGGGCAACAAAGCAAAGACCTGTCTACAAAAATTAGCCAGGTGTGGTGGCATATACCTGTGGTCCTAGCTTTTCAACAGTCTCAGAAAGAAGGATTGCTTGAGCCTAGGAGCTCGAGACTCAACTAGGCTATGATCGCCACTGCACTCCAGCCTTATTAACAGAGAGACACTATTTCTAAAGAAAAGAAATTCACTGGGTGTGGTGGTATGAGCCTGTAGTCCTATCTGAGGCCAAGGCAGGAGGATCACTTGAATTCAGGAATTTCAGGCTGCAGTGAGCTATGATCCACCCCTGCACTCCAGCCTGGGTGACAGAGTGAGACTCTGGTCTCTTAAGAAAACAACAACAAAAAACAAAGTGGGCTTCATAAGGATATATCTAACACCCCTGGCACCTGTCAAAGCTTTTATATTTTTACCATATATATTTCAAGGTTTCATTGACTCTTACCTTGGAGAGTTCTAGTTCTAGAAAGTACTAATCTACACTGGCTATGATAACCAACAAAAACTTTAACTCTTGTTTTGGAAATAGAAACATAAAGGATGGTACAGGTTGGAAAATTGGTCAATAGATAGAAAGACAACAATATTAAAATATGAATAGTATATAACATAAGCGGCAAGGTTACCCTGAAGCTTAGCAGAAAACATCATTCATACCAATGTTCATAGAGGATTATCACACAAGTAGGCATAATGACAAGTAAGGACCAAAAGAAGGATAAACATCGGACTAGAGAAAAATGGGAAGCCTCATAGTTCTAAAAAGTCAATGTAAGAACCCTCCACCACAACCAGGTCAAAAAAATGGGCAAATCATTGTAAAAGAGGCAATATTTAATCAAATTCCAAATTCTTTACTGTATACACTTTAATAGGTCTTATTTTAATAGGTCTTGATCTTTTAAAAAATAAATACACAGAGCAAAAGTAACTATACTATTCAGTCATTCTCTTCCTGAGTCTTCTGTTTAGTCACAAATCAAAACTCTCCTATGATGTAGCACAAATGGAATCCTATTTGCAATGTGACAATTACATAATCTAGAATGAATCTCCCTCCCCTCCAGTAAGCAAAAATCTTGCCTGGACATGAAGAGGACAAAAAGCTCACAAAGAAAAATTTAGAAAGGATTTGCCAAGGTCAGAACTAATGTTTCTGCCAGTTTTTGGCATTCTGCACTATGCATGCTGCAGGGCTAAATTTCAACTATTATCTTTCCATCTGTTTAATATCTGAAGGAAAGACGACCAGGTGCCTTCTGCAAGAGCAGTGGCCAATGATTCAGCTTTTAATTATAAGGAATAAGTAGACTGCTTAGGTTTCTTCTACAAAGTTAAAGGAAGGAAAAGAACAGATTGCTTTATGTGATTATTTTTTTCAAGCATACACAGTAGACGAACATAATGTGTTCTTCTGTTACTTGCAAATTGCACAGTATTTAGTACCAAGAAATATGAAGCAAGGGTCTGTGTAAATTAATGATTAGAATACTCAGAAAAAGGAACCTTAACCTTTATTGGATGGTAGGAAAAAGAAAGAATAATAGTTAACTTCCAGGAACTCAAACTAGGTCTGACTACTTTTTTCATATCCAGCCCTCATGCAGGGGGAAAATTGTAAATGGTTGTGAAGAAACAGTGAGCAGATGGTACTAAAAAGTCACCATCTGTGCACCGGGAGGATGTATGACCCAAGTGCATCTCCTAGCCTAACTTGTGGCTGAACTATGTCTTGTCAGTACACTGGTTTAGAAAAAGAAAGACTTCCTCTTAAGATAAACTGTCATTAATATTTCTTCAGATATAAGAGAGAAGGCAGAGAGAAAAGCCACTACAAAATAATCCAATTTCATTAAGAAATAAGACAATTCAATGTCATTAAGAAATAACTAAATAGAGCAACCATACTTTGCTTTACCTATAAAAACTGCTTTTAAATAATAGTGAATTTCTGTGTGTATGCGTGTGTGCATACTCATGTCTGCATCTAATAATGACAGTCCATAGCATTCAGCAAGTGTGTGAAAGCGATGACAGCAAGGAGGAGGATGACAACAGGAAAGCAATTTGTTCTTTTTTAACTTTGTAAAATGCTATTGTAGAAAGTGTTGACGTGTGAAGCTGGAATCTGAAGCCATCATCTGTCTCATCCATGATGCACTCAAGCTTTATGTGGTAATTCATTTGTTATACACTAGTTTATATGATTACTTGAGAAGAATTATTTAGCAGGAAAACCTATAAATTGAATTCTAGGTAAATATATGCTTCTCAAGACAAAATGTGTGATATCAATGTAGAGGTTCACATACATCTGAAATTACATTTAAAAATGTGTATATACATAACATTTTTCTGGGAAGAAAGTCCACATCACTAATCAAAAATTTAAAAAGTCTAAGATTTAACAAAGGGTAAATTCTTCATTCTAAAGGAGCTAAGGAAAATAAAAAGTGTGTGTTGGGAAAAGGGAAGGAGTGGAGACGGAAAGATTAAACTCTGCAACAATCTCAAAATCCCTAATTAAAGATTAATATGCTGGGCACAGTGGCTCACACCTGTAATCCCAGCACTCTGGGAGACCGAGGCGAGAGGATCGCCTGAGCCCAGGGGTTTGAGACCGGCCTAGGCAACTTGGCAAGGCCTCCTCTCTACGATAAATTAGACTGAGGCTGCAGCGACCCTGAGCGTGCCACTGCACTCCAGCCTGGGCGGCACAGTGAGACTTCAACTCAAAAAAAAAAAAAGATTAATACTTCCCTCAGTTTTCTTCTTTACTCTAAACTCCTACCTATATTCACATTCCTCCTTCAAAACAAAAGGAAGCTGGGCACAGTGGCTCATGCCTGTACTCCCAACACTTTGGGAAGCTGAGGTGAGAGGACTGCTTGAGCCCAGGGGTTCAAGACCAGCCTGGAAAAGTTGGTGAGACCTCGTCTGTATAATAAATAAAGAAAAATTAGCTGGGCATGGTGGCACATGCCTGTAGTTCCAGTAACTTGGAAGGCTGAGGCAGAATGATAGCCTGAGCCCAGCAGGTCAAGGCTACAGTGGCC